TAGTGGCGGTTAAATTTAAGTGGTTGGGTTAGCAACCAGCTGAAAGTATTTTGGCGTGGTTCGTTGATAGACGGGGTGTAACCGTGTAATAAGTGAAATATTTGTGTACTACTACTTCTAACTTACGCCGTCCCTAAGTTATAAGAGGATATTAGGGGATTATATTTGTATTATATCTTTTGTAATTTTTTTGTAACATATATGTAACTAATAAGTTTCGTGTTTCTATTTTATATGAAAAGTTACAGGTAGGTTACAGAGAGGTTACAGGGGTATAACGCAAATATAACCCTCCAATACACTCCATGTAACCTACTCACGTACGCAACTCTCCATACGTCAGACATACACAAAAATTTCTCGTGTGAACTTGCCGGCTCCTACTCAGCTCCCCTCGTTCAAAATCAATGCTGTTGTTTTTGTTAGTTTTTTTAATATATGGAGCTTAAAATGTTTGATTCATTTATTTGTCAAATGAATTTAACATGAACTACTTAATAAATCGAACAAGAGCTATTCGTGAACAAGAAGAATGAGCTGTTTTAGCAGCCCTTAATGGACCTTTGCCTTTTCCTGAATGCATTTGAAATAAAATAAATTTATATTTGAAATTTTTACTGTAATTATTTATATTTATTTTTCAGTGTAATTAAAGGATTTACGTACATACATGCATAGATTAGTAAAACATAACTAGTTTCATATTTAATACTTGAAATAAGAAATCTACATCTATGCTAGATTGTACTATTACGGACCCGTTTGGAGAAAGCTTAGTCTTTCATAAAAATCCTTTTAGAAGGAATTTTAACATAAACGGCATTATAAAATCCAACTATTTAAACATGCATAAAAGCATTTGTTCTCAAACTCGGTCAGTTTATGAGAATGTGTTTGAATTAAGTATTTTTTTATATCATTAAGGGTGGTCGTTCAGAAGATAAAATACGAAAATACCCTTGTCTAGAAATATGCAAATAACACACTTCCCTCAACCATCTCCTTCAACTAGTCCCCCGCCGGACTCATCGTCGGCGCCTTGAAAACTTGTCATTGTCGTCGCCGCCGCCAACCTCTCCCACCCTCTCTGAAGCCTGCTTAGGTGGCTCAGCAAGGTTGGGAGTGGGAAATTGAAGTTTACCGTCGTTGCCGCCCTTTCCATTCTATCAGCAGAGCATCCAATAGAGAAGACCCTCAGGGACATTTTGGACAATTTGACACTTAAATAAAAAAAAAAAAACAGAATGTGATCTGAAATGGAGATAAAATGGTGTTTAGTTCAACGGACTTCCGACGGCTTTATTGTGCCAAACGACGGCCACAGATTTTGCCGGCGTTCTCATGGACCACGTCTAAGGTTTACCGCGTGGTCAAACGAGCCCTAAATCGAATTTGTACAACAACTATATCCCTTTTCTATGCCTAACCTTAATCCGATGCAAATCTGAACTCCCGCAAAAGTTCTCCCTCACGTCGTGCAAGACATGGACTTACTCGTCACAACCTTCGCCTTAAAGAGAAAATTGCTCCTAATTCATGGTTAAGAGGGCATGATTTTGAATTGTACTATCATGTTAGTCAAACTTCGCCCAAAGAATACAAAGTTCTTGGCATTATGTTAAGGTAAATGAATGATTAAAGTATCAAATGAGAATAACAGACTTGACAGTGGCATACAAAAAAAATAAAAAAAAAATGTGGCATAACCTTACACGGTGGAGTGTTATCATTCAGTTTCTGATAGTGTGGATATCAATAACATTGTAATTAATGCCTATACTGGTGGGTTTTTAATAACTTGATGCATAGATGATGAAGCTCTAGCATGTGGTCTGTACTCTTCCAAGCAGTTGCTTTAAACTTAAGCTATTTTAAATAATTTTAGTGAAAATAAGAGGTATTTACAAAACCCGAGTTATAGATGATGTCCAAGGAGAATACAACATCATTGTGTGCAAATGGCCACACATTTGAAATGAGAATATTAGATGAAACACATTTATGCATGTGTTAGTAAAGCTGAAAATAAATAAATGTCACTCCTTATATAAAATTTATGATCAAGAAACAAACGAGAGTTTCACTGAAACATATCAATAAGAGTTTTGAGAAAATATATTGAATGCCACTAACATACATGAAATTATGATGCTGATGAAAGTAAACTTGAGACATCATATTTGTATCAGAGTATGATAACTTCAAGCTAGTATGTACTCTAAATGTAAAACTCTTTAAGAACATTGGTTGTTTCACATATTACACAGTCTTTAACAATATTTGAAATGAGAATATTAAATGTTTCAGACGCGCTCGCATGGTCTGTTTTGTCATTAGGGATCGTTTGGACAACTTCATCGATTGCGCTCGATTCACGCGTGACGTGACGAATGAGATATGTTTGTCTGATCGAAGCTGTCCAACATAAGAAATGCCGACCGACCTTCATCTGAGTGAAAGTCAATGTCTAGCATGATGACCCGGTCGCGTGCCGCTTAACACATTTTGAAGAGTTTCAAATGGATCTCTCGAGCTACAGGAAACAACATATGTGTAAAGCATAATCCCTGGTTATTCAAGCTGACATCCCACGCACGTGACATCAAAAAGTGATGCCAACAAAGAAGAAACCGAAAAGGTGCAAACCTTCCTTACCCCCAGGCATATGTGTAATGATCTGGGCACGAAAATCCAAGAGAGTTCATTATTGCTCAATAATGTCATTTAATTATTTTGTACCCTATAAAAAAATATGGTTATCCTTGTGTGCATTGCAACTCCCAATGAGTAAGAGAATTGGAGGACTAAATATGTATATAAGAAGTATGTGAGCACGAGTCTCCAGACAGTGGACGACTTGGGAAGAAGATAAAGTCGATCAGACGTAGACGATTGCCTGATTTAGACACTGGCAAAGGGAGTGCGTTGTTCGACTGGTCGGTAGAGCGTGTCAGGGGATCTCTCACAAGGCAGTGATTGGTCATCAAAAAGATCGATAAGGAGTATCCTCTCGGATCAGATGTCCACAGAGCCAAGGCTTAGTAGATGTCAGTGAACTTCTTGTCGATTGAATGAATCTTCTAATTTTATTATATGTGAATATCTCTATAATTACTAAAAAGGTTATCTGAAAAATCAATGATGAGAGGACTAATGTGTACTTTTGTAATGCTGGGAATTTTAACTATAAATAGAGGACCCATATCATGAATAAAAGGAGTACACTCTCTCTTATCGTTCTTTATTGTACTCTCTCTCTCTCTCTCTTCTATAAAACGTTCTATATTTTGTGTGTGTTTCCAGGACATTTTTTGATTCAACAAAAAATAATTTTCTTAAAAAACTATTGTTAAAATGTTATTGATTTATAAAATTGTAAAAAAAAAAAAAACATTGACAACATCCCCCATAACAACACATGATAAAGTTGCCTCTCAATAAAACATTAGATACATAGCGTCATGTGTAGGATTGTAATCAAGCTGAGTTGAGTCGAGTGTGTCGTGATTTAGGTTTAACTTGGTCGAATCATTAGGTGTTCATGTTCACTTTAAGTTTGAGACTAGCTTTAGCATATATACTCATACTTGACTTGCTTAAAATTTTAATATTCATACTTGATTTACACTTATTTGTTTATATTAATTGAAAATTTTAAAACTTAAGATAATATTTAATTTTTCCTACAAAATTAAAAGTTTTTATTTATGGATAGTTTTTCATATAAATTAATAAACAATTTAAAAATTTAAAATGCTTATTTATTTTTTATATAAAGTCATTAATAAATTATTCAATAAATCTAAATAAAAAAGCAATTGCATAGATTTAAAACTATCATCTAAGAAATTTATACCAAATAAATTAAAATAATATATATATTTTTTTAATTAAATTTTTTGCAATCAAATAACATATTAACAAGCTAGTTCATTGAATTAAAAAAATAATAATTACATTAAACTTATGTGCATGATAATATTAAATTACAATATTTTAATGTTAACTATATTATTAAACTAATTTTAATTAATAAAGTTTTATTTAAATAATAGATCAAATAAATATAGAATATTTAATAAATTATTTATCGAAAAAAAAAGAATTTTTACAAATTTTATTTAAAATCTCAACTTTTAAATCTGTTAAAATTTATTTATTTACTATTTTCTTAAAATTGTTTTATTTAACAATTATGCTTATTATTTGTGGCGCAAAGGGCGTGAGCCGAAGTGTTGCGCAGCCCAATCAGAGCTGTGTGTCACGGATAAATAGTCTCACGTCGGCTAGGTGTAGGGCCGAAAAACAGTATTTAAGTCTTGGGCTACCCACCACCCTTAAGGGCTCTTTTGGGAGGTGACAAGTGGTATCAGAGCAGATTACTGTCTGTCAGGGGTGTGGAGTATACATGGTCTCGGGGGGGAGCCGATCCGTGACGAGGGCGTCACGTGATTGGGTGGAGGAGAATGTCACGGATAAATAGTCTCACATCGGCTAGGTGTAGGGCCGAAAAATAGTATTTAAGTCATGGGCTGCCCACCACCCTTAAGGGCTCTTTTGGGAGGTGACATGTGGCCAGAAAACAATTGTTGTACGATGAAGATAAGATATATACTTGCAAATTGTCCCGCTGAAATCCCCTCTTCCAATAAGTAAAATATTACATCAGTGCTCCTAACGTAGAGCTATATTTAAAGTTCATTGATATGCAGATACATGAGGTTGATAGAAAAATAAAAATAAAAAAAATATTTTAGCGCAGGGGAACATTACTCTCATGTTATTTCGTATTATTCAAGTGTTATTATGATGATATTTATGTGTTATTGTGTTCTGAGAATATTCTCGGTGTTATAATAACACAATAACACATCAATATCACCACAATAGTGCATGAATAAAGCGAAATAATACAGGAGGAATATTTTCTTATATTACTGGGCCGAATCACAGGAAAGCGCACA